AAAAGAGAAAAGAGAATGTGTGACAGACAGAAAACAAGTAATATAATTGGTATACTTATACAAACCATATCATTACTCATATAATCAAAAGGCAGATTATCTGCTTTTAAAAAAGCAAAACCAAACTACATACCAGCAACAAGAAATTTACTTTAAATATAAAGACACCAATAATCTGAAAGTAAAATGATTAAAAAAAAGATATACCATGCTACTATTAATCAAAGAAAATGAAGTGGTTATTTTATCATCAAAATTAGATGTTAGAGCAAATAATGTTATCAGGTACTAAAGGGTCATTTCATAACAACAGAAGGGTCAATTTATCTAAAGAATATGCTTATAATGCATCATACTATGGCAGAGCTATTTTGTTGGGTGTTTAAAAAATTGAAAAATAATAAAGTGAACAATATTGAGGAATTTTCAACAACTACATGGTAAATTTGATCAAAAGTTTTCACTTAATGGTTCAAAAAAATATTTGAAATATTTAAATAAATCAGAAACAAACACCCAACAAAAAAAGTACAATGATTTTTTAACAGAATTTGAGTTTGTTTAAAAAAACAGTGTAAATTCTTGCACCAAAAAGAAAAACATTTCAGATGGAAAGATTATGAAAATTGTTATTGTTTCAGTTATGAAAACTTGTTAGAAAATCATGAAAAATGTTTTTAAATATATATTTTAGAAAATTCATTTTTCAAGTATATTTCAAAACAATTGCTCAAAGAATACAAGTCCTTTCTAATGAAAAATTAATGGAATCAAAATGTGAAAATCTCTAAGTATCATTCTTTAGTTTTAGTTGAATCATGCAATATAAAATACTGTTCCATTAATATTTTAAGTACATTTTTTCAAAGGACACCAAATCTATGAAGAAATGTTATCAATTCATGACCTAAAAGATCAAACTTACGACACAGATATTTTCAATGTTTTATTTGTATCATCAAAGAATAATTTCTCCTAGATATGAAAAAATTAGTTTTTATCATGACAGATAGTACTCCAGCTATATTGAGATTTAATGGGATTTTAAAACAAGAGATTGATGTTTCCCTTATTGCTTTATTTACTCTGTGAAACATACTAAAAATATTTCTGCTCAGTTTTTACAACAGATTCCATGAAAAGCACCATGGCCATGGATGGATATAGTTGTTAAGATCATCCAATATATATGTGTAAGTTCTTTGAATAATCACCAGTTTATGAAACTAGTGAAAGAAATAGAAGGAAATGGATTTTTTATTTAGTTTTTTAAATTAGCGCTTCATAAACATGATGGTGAAATTCACTGTGGTATATTCATATATACATAGCATAATTTTGTCAATTTCCTCTCCTTTCCCATCCCTCCTCAAGGATATGAGAAAGAGATACACTTATACTTTGGTGGAACTGAAAACCAATACAGCCACTCTGGAAAGCAGTAGGGAATTCCTCAAGAAAACTTGGAGTGGAACCAGTATATGACCCAGCTATCCTACACCTTGGTGTTTATCCAAATGATCTAAAATCAGCATACTACAGTGATATAGGCACATCAACATTTTTAGCAGCACAATTTACAAGAGCCAAGTCATGGACCAGCCCAGGTGTCCATCAACAGATGAATGCATAAAGAAAATGTGGCAATGAATTTTTTAATGCAGTCCATACTTATATTTTCGCAGTAATATATTTATCTATGAATGAGCTAAATAAGAAAAAGAAAAGTTTGTGACCTAGCAAGCCAGCTATAAGAATTAATGTTGAAAATGAAACCTTTCATAATACAAGTCAGTAATTTTACATTCACCCAACATAAGTCAAACACATTTCAAAACATATTTCAAAGATTTTAATTATACCTGGATGAAATGTAAATTGGTAGCAAAAACTACCAGAAAATTTTGAAGAAGATTTTTATGATATTGACCAATTTTAAAAAGCTTTTCAAATTATATAATGCCTCTTTGAATTCAATGTTAATATTGAATTGGCAAGTGTTTGCAAATTTACTTAACTAAAAAAGACAGAATTTTGTAACTGTTTTGTTCTTGTCTCAAAGTCAAATCAGTTGTTTAAAAAGATGAATTAGTTTTGTCACTGACTAATAGGAAAGCTAAATGTAACCATTTAATTCAAGTTACTAGAAAACTTTAAAGTATGTTTAGAATAACTTGATATGTAATCTACCTTTCAACTATAAATTTTATTAAATCTAAACACAGATCAAACAATTCTGATGAAAAATTACTGTGAGTAAACTATACACCCAATTTCAAAAACAGTGTAGAAAGTAATATATTTTACATGGATTGTATATTTTGGGTATATTGGTTTAAATAAAATATTTAAGTTAATTTTACCTATTTACTTTTTAATGTGGTTACTGGAAAAGTAAAAATTATACCTGTGATTCACATTATTATTTCTATTGAGTAGCACAAACTAAAGTAAGACCACAGAATTCTGCTCAGGAGACTTAAGATCACAGATTTCTGACTGTCTTACAAGAATAAGCCTCCCCACCTTTGTCATAGATTTAGGCTATTTTGGTTATTGCAAGAATAGGTTAATATATGTAAAGTACACAGAAGATCTGTAATTATCTAGCAGATCTAACTATCTAAATAAGCGTTTGCTATAATTACTGTCATTAGTATTATTTACCAAGATTTATTAAAATACAAACTTTTTTGAGAACTGGGGATTGAACCCAGAAGCACTATACCACTGAACTACATTCCCAATCACTCCTCCCTTTTTTAATTTTGTGACAGGATCTCCCTAAATTGTCCAGGCTGGTCTCAAACTTGCCATCCTCCTGCCTCAGCCTCCCAAGTAACTGGGATTACAAGTGTGCACCATCACGGTTAGCATTAAATAAATAAATAAATGAAAAACTTAAAAAAAATACATCATCAGTAAAAGAGCAAACTGCAAAAAGATGAGAACCTTCTGTGATCAGTTTGTCCCACTAGAGCTGTGACTGGGGCACAGTGAGTGACGCTATTGACTTGGCTCAAAATTTAAGAGTCTGAACAAAACAACAACAAAACCTCAGTAATCAAGATAGATAAAAATTAATGCAATATTTTAATCACTCAAAATTATTCAAAAAGCCCCACTATGAACAAAAAAAACAAAACTGTAAATAACAACAGGAGTCGTGTTATCAGTTTCTCCCATTGCCCCAGGATCTAATATGGCTTGGAAAGATGGCATGACCCGTCCTGCTTCTGTCATCACACTATTCCTGCCATGTCTTACCTTTAGCTGAGGCTGAGGCTGAAGAGCTGAAAAAGGGGCAGCATTGGGCCTAATCTAATGGCCCAGAAGTGCTTGTCCTTCTAACAAGTTGGACCTAACCCCACCCAGATGCAGGAAGTCTTCTGCTGCCCTGCCGGAAGTGGGCGGGAGGCCTGCTGGGAATACCCAGGCTGCCCTGTGGCCCTTCCCAGGATGCCCTGCGAACCAAAGCCAGAACGGGAGCCCGAGCCGTTGCCCCCTCTTGGAAGCCACTGCTCCTTACCTGGCCTGGAAACGCCACTATGGACCTCTCCAAAGGACACAACTGGAACTGGAGCCTCGGTTCCCAGAACGCCATAGACACACTGGCAATAACTTTTTACCTCCTGTTGGTGCTGGGCCTCGGCCTGTGGGTATGACTTAACTCCAGGGGAGGGCGGAGTCTGGGACTCCTGGTGGGTTTAACCCCTCCCTAGAGTGTCAGCACTGGGCATCTTGGCCCCTGCCTATGTGCATCCCTGAGAAGAGACCTTTCCACTCTTCCTTTGCTTACCCTCTGCTTACCCTTCCTGCCAGGAATAAGCATGCTTCCTTATCAGCAAAGCCATCCTTGATCAACACCCGCTCACATGCCCGCCACCCTCCAAATAATCAAAAGGTCAAATGCTCCTGTACCCACTGCCTGGAACCTAAAACCTTAGGGGTATTTCATAAGTACTCCTTGTTATGATAAGCATGATGATAATGGTGGTGGTAATCTTCACAGCCATTCTGTGAATAACATAGCTTGCCCTCCCTATCCAGGAGTCTTTTTATCTGCCGGTTCGACAAATAGTATCAAAACTATTTGAAAAATGTGGATCTCTACTGCCCACATACAGACTTTTTTTTTTTTTTGGTTATCCCCTAAACAATAGGTTATAACAATTATTTACATTGTTTTGGGTAACATAATATCTAAATTATAATCTAGAAATGATTTAAAGTACATAAGAGGATATTTTATAGGCTATATGCAAATGCTATGCCATTTTGTATAAGGGACTTGAGCATCTGTGGATTTTGGTAATCCTCAATGGATATAGAAAGAGGACTGTACTATTATTTGAACTGAGGTTCCAAAGGTTAAGTAACACCCAGGGAATAATGGAGTTCAGACTCAAACCTAAAGCTGTTGTCTGACCTGATTCATAAGCTTAACCACTCTGCATTGCAAGCAAGATACAAAAGTCATGTGTAACTTAATGTTCTGAATATTACCTTTAAAGCTTAGCACATAAGCACTCAAAAAGATGTCCCTTAACAATACCACCAAGTACCAGACATAGTCCTTGTTCCACTAGAATATCAAGTGTATATGAAAACTTTGGGTAGTGTCGTAGTATCTTCCCTTGAGTAAGTTATTAACCATCAAAGGACTCTGACTGGCCTGCTTCAGCAAGCTGGTGACAATGTCATCAGTTGTTAACAAGTGCAAGAGGTTTCATGCTGGATGGCCTCCTCCCAGCCAAAGTTTTAATGCCCATATAACCTATACTTTGGTGTGCTCCACCAGTTCACAGGTGGACTTTACAGTGAAGCTGGCCTTTGAAAATGTAATCATTGGACATTCTCAAAGGTTTACAATGAGTCATTTCTCTATTGGGCAGATGGACTAATGAAAACATAGACTCCATCCTATTAGGAGAACTTTGTACCAGAAGAAAAAATACATTCGGCCTTTCACATCCAAGGGTTCTGAATCCATAAATTTACCTAACTGATGTTTTTTTAAAAATCTGCTATAAATGTATACACATTTTTTCATTATCTCTTCAACAATACAGTATAACAACTATGTAGCATTTACAGTGTATTAGGTAGAAGTAATTTTTCTAGAGATGATTTAAAGTATATGGGAGTAATGTGTAGGTTATATACAAATGCTTCACCATTTTATGTAAGGAACTTGAACATCCTCAGATTTTGGTATCCACCAGGAGTTCCTGAAACCAATCCCTCATGAACACCAAAGGATGACTGCATAGGCCTTTTATTCCAAATGGAAAAGGCAAGCCTGAAGTATTTATTCAGATCATTCAAACAAATTATTTTCTTTTTTTCCAGTGGCCATAATTATTAGTTGGCCTAGGCAGGGGGCTCTGAGTAGCAAGCACCTCTTTGGGAATACTTATCCCAGTTCCCTTATTGTTTAGGAAGCCCCTACATAGCTTGCTTTTGGCACAAATAGAGGTTACTCTCTGGAGGAGGTCAGAGAACTACTAAGCCATCTAGTCACTTCCAGAGGAAACCTGCTATTTCTGCTCTTCTTCTGGGAACCATAAAACATATGCAGATATCCAGAATACTTTGATCCTTTTCCTTCTTTATATTATTAATTTTGCTCTGGTTCTTTTTGGAAATAATATTCTGTTGTTAGTTACAAAATATTTACATGTTCATTGTAAGAAGTGAAATATAAATATTTTTTAAAATCTTACTCTTCTTCTCCAGTTCATTCCTATCTCCCTGAGGTAGCCAGGAACCATGGATACTTCCTCCCCTTTTTCAGTTATAAGTACATATACAGACACGTATAGTTTTAGTTTTTGTCTCCATAAAAAAATGGAATCATATCATACCCATTACTCTGAGTAACTGGAATAAAATAAACCTAGACTCCTCCCACTGCATCATTAAAAAAGGCAAATTCCAGATGATCCAAAGATTTTTATACTTTATTAAAAAACCTATAAATTATTAGAAAAAGTTAGAATAATTACTCTGAAGCTTGCTGTTTTTCACTTCTTGTATTTTGTAGAGTGCTACAAGTCAATAGATATAGATCTAACTCATGCTTTAATTAACTGCGTAATAATACAAACGAGTACTATTCAGCTCTTCTCTACTAATTGACCCTTAGATTTGTGCCAAGTCTGTTTGTTTAATGTATTGTTGCTTATTAACTCATGTAGCACAGACTCCCAGAATGGAATTACTGAGTCAGAAGAGTATGTTTACTTTAAAATTTAAAAGATATTACTAAATGGAAATCCCCAAAGGTAGTTGAGATTTTAATTTCTCACAAGCGGTTTTTGACCATGCTCTTTCCTCAAGCCCTTACTAGCCTTATTTAATTTTTTTTGTTTTGCCAATCTGATGCATGAACAGTAGTATCTCATTGAAGCATTAATTTATGCTTTTCAAGCTCCAAGGAAGACTCAGCATTTTTTTAATGAGTTTATTGTCCTCTGATTTTTCTCTTCTGAGAACAGCCAGTTTATTGCATGTTTTTGAATGAGCTTGTTTGGCTTTGCTTTTATCAATTTATCCTTCCTTTGAACTACTGATATTTTTTCTAAACTATCATATCTAGACAAATGTTTCTCAACCCCAGCACTACTGACTTTGGGGGCTGGATAATTCCATTGTGGAGGGGTTCCTACATTACCATATTTTGAAGAATCCAGGACCGTTACCTGATTGTGACAATCAAACATGTCTCCAAATGTTGCCAAATCTTCCCTGAAGGATAGGGCAAGCCACCCCTACTTGAGAACCACTGGTCCAGACCTGTTAATGGTTATCTTTTTGTCATTTCAGTTTTTGTTTTCTTTAAAGAAATCAACTCTCTCTCTCCTTTTGTATCTTCCATATTTTTTGCCTGGCTTAGAATCATATCTCTGCCAAGTGCAGTGACACACATCTATAATCCCAGCAGCTTAGGAGGCAGAGGCAGGAGGATCACAAGTTCAAAGCCAGCCTCAGCAATTTAGCAAGGCTCTAGGCAACTCAGTGAGACCCTGTCTTAAAATAAAAAGATAAAAAGGGATGGGAATGTGGCTCAGTGCTTAAGCACCCCTGGGTTCAACCCCCGTACCAAAAATTGGAAAAAAATTATTCCTGAACTCCAAAACTGTACAAATATTATTCTAACTTTTCTAATAATTTGTAGGGTTTTTATAAAATATAAAAATCTCTGGATCATCTGGAATTTGCCTTTTTTAATGATGCAGTGGGAGGAGTCTAGATTTATTTTATTCCAGTTATTAAATAAGCCACCCTTTTACCACTGAATTGAAATAAACATTTTCATTAATGAACTCCTTACAAGTACTTTAAAGTACAAATCTGCTGAAGCCCCCTATTAAACTAGGAAGTGAGTTTTTGTTGCTGGTGCCTTGGCTTGTACAGGATGTGAAATGTACAGCTTGTGCAGTATGTGGCTTGATGGTGTACATGTTTTGGGCTTTTGTTTCTATTAATTTTGTTTCTATTAATTTCTATTAATTACATGTTTTAGGCTTTTGTTTCTATTAATTTCAGTCTAGAGATCTTTTAGGAAGTGTTGGATGCATCTTGCCCGCAATCTAGCTGTTGTGATTTGTGGTATTATTCCAGAAGGAGAGTAAGGAGGAAGAAAGAATCATGATATATGCTTAAGCCACCTTCTTGCCAGAATCTCTACTTTCTGTTTGTTCTTTTTTAATAGAAAGAATTATTTCATTCCTCTTAGAATGTTTTGTAAATTCCAAGTCTCATGTACTACCTCTACCTACCTACAGCTGACACCTTTCTCAAGAAGGGTTACCTATGCCATACTAGGACCTTTATAAATATTTACTGAATGGATGAAGTAAGACTGATTTAATGTATATGAATTTAGAGAGTTACTTTTTGGGTTTAAGGCTTTATGACATGAATAGTATGCCTGTTAAAATGCAGATACCTTGAATGGTGGCAGCAAGTTCACTCTTTCTATGGAAAAACTATTCCTGTCAACCAGCTATCATCCTTAGCTCATGCTAGTTAGAGAAAACCTGGAAAATCCTCTATATTGTCTTTTGACCATACCAGATCTGAGAATCAGAGTAGTAGAAAGGACTTGATAAATTGGAAGAACACCATAGTAATGACAGTATGACTCCCCTCCTGGAAGAAGCTAGGCATATGTTCAGCAAATTAGCTATTCTTGAATACCCAGTAGTCTTCCAGACTCCACCAGAAGCTGTTGCACTAGCTAACTATTTGGGGAGGGGTTGGATAAAGCAATCTTTTTTCACAAGAGTGTAGAGAAATGACCATGGCCTTACAGTCTCATACTTGGAAGAGACAGTAGTCTCCAGCTAGGCAGCCATGACTCTCCTCTACTGCAGGTTATAGCAGATTCTATTTCTAAAAAGAAACAAGGGAAGAATAAATTTGCGGAAGAGTGAAGGTCATCTGTTTGAGAGACCTGTGTTTTGGGAGTAGTTTGGTTTCTTATATCCATTGTGGTGTTTTATTTTTGTTTTAGGCTGTAATGTCAAGTAGTCGTGCAACAATAAAAGACTTCTTCCTGGCTGGCAGAAATCTGTCATGGTGGTCGGTGAGTAAACCTTGCATGTGGCAATCCATTTAGGGAGCTGTTTGTTAACTTGCTTATTACTTTAATGTAGAGGTCTTATACCCAAAATACTTTGAAATTACTAAATCAGTCATGTCATTTAATTAGTAGTTTCCTTAACTCTAAATTTTCTTAACCCGAATGTTCCCATTCATTTTAGTTCAGTAACCATTTATTAGGTGCCCAGTGCATACATGGCATTGTTCTAGGTTCCAGGACATAGGTAGAAAATAGACCACTCTGCCATATAGAAGAGCAGACTCAAGAATGAGAGTAGGATACATATTTAACTAATTAGAATATATTACAGTGCAGAACAAGAAGTCAGGAAGAACAAGGAATAGATGTGGCTTGTTGGGTGATTAAGGAGGTAGGATTGTGTGAACAGCATTTGGAGATAGAGTGTTTTCTAGGCAACAAAGTGTGAGGGCATTCTATGCAGAGGAAACAGCATACACCTAAGCATGGGAGGTGCAGAGTAGCATAGGTGCTACTCCCATCTAGATGAAGGGAAGTAGGACTGAAGGTAGAAACATTTTTCTGTATGTATGTTAATTTATTGATTATAAAAAGTGATTGGTCCAAGAGGAATGACTCAAAAACCCCCACAGTAGTGGAGGCAGTTGCCCTTCCTTAGCCCTGTATCTCTACTGGGATGGCTAGGGGCACCCCAGGTAGGAGGATGTCAAGCATAATTTATGTAAAAATAGACATACGTTTCCCACATAGGAATTTAAGGTACATTTAGAAAATTGTGCAACAACCAGGCCCAGGCCCTTATTTAGTCATTTATTCTTTGTTCTCAAATATTAACCAGTCTTCTGGCAAGAAATTGAGTTTTCAGGATAACCTCCATGTGTCTTTATACAAAGGAAATAGGAAAGCACAGTTATTAACTGATGGATCAAGCAATGTCAAAGAGGCCTTGCTTCTGTTATCTGGGAGATTTGGGCGACAGCTCTTTTCAACTCTCTGCATTATGCTTTAATTTTGTTTTTTATAAACCCAGTTTAGGAAGAGATTGATGTAGCAAAGAGCTGTTTGCACTGGGCCTCTTACTTAGTTTATTCTTTTTTTTAAGAAAGAGAGAGGGGGAGAGAGAGAGAGAGAGAGAGAGAGAGAGAATTTTAATATTAATTTTTTGGTTATCGCCGGGCACAAAATCTTTGTTGGTATGTGGTGCCGAGGATTGAACCCAGGCCGCACGCATGCCAGGCGAGCACGCTACCGCTTGAGCTACATCCCCAGCCCACTTAGTTTATTCTTTGATGGAAGATTCTAACAACATGATCTCCTCCTAGGCTATAAAGCCCCAGTCTTTGGTAAGGACCACACTGTGGTCTTATAGAGGTGTTTTTTGTTCCCAGAGAAACAGGAATCTAATGCCTATGTTACCTTGTATAACTGTGACACTTGTAATGGTTTTATTGATACACTTTAACCTCCTAATGTTTGCACATATTTTGACTCATCAATTTCTTTTTCATTATTAGGATTATTGTTAGTAAACAAAATTCAGTAAAAGAAATTGGGATACATGAAAAATTTTACCATTTTTTTCTTGCTTCTTTTGTTTTTGTTCAATCAGCAAAAATCAATGGATATCAATAGCTCTTGTCAGAGTCCCCAGTTACTTCCACATCACCTGTTATTGTGGTAACTTCTCAGTTCTCATCTTACC